TGCTGGGGTCCTGAATATGCTTTTGCCGAAGGGAGACATCACCAGTTGCCTTCTACGACCTGAAATCTCTAGACACGGCTCTAGGGCTTGACCCAAACTTTATTGCAATCAACACAGATACTCTTCTTAGGTTTAGAGGGCATTGGATGAAACCCTGAAGGAGAACGTATTTTTTTTGGCTGGAGAAGAAGGCAATGTCTTGTTCAGCGAGGTGTGAGAGCTAAAGCTCTCGTTGGAGATTGTGTTGGAAGAATTGCGGTAAGTTTCCCGCTTTTAAAAAAGCTAAACAGGTGTTTAGGATTCTGCCTGCCCAACAATTTCAACAGGATTTGAGTACCTAACTCTCCTAATGCCCCTAAAAACCCCAGCCATGGTCACTTCCCTTTGTTCAATTTGCCCCTCAAATAATCTCCATCTACATAGTGGACTTTTACTGTGGGTTTCTGATAAATGCCAGCTTCAAATGAGTAACTTTTGGGCTGGGATTTTCATTGGAAACGAAGGGTGTTAGAAGCCCAATTCATATGGATTTCACAGAGCTTTTGGGTGCCTATCTATTTCCCCTTTATTTCCCCTTCCACGGGTGTCTTAGACACCTGTAGAAGGGGGAATAAAGGGGAAAGATTGCAGTGATTAGGGGAGGCAGCTATTAGGGAACATGCGGTACCGGGCACGGTGTAAGTCAGTGTGAGGGTCTCTCCGGGCTTTTTCACTCCTGCACCGGACTCCACCAGGCTGACCTGGGAATAGACACCTGCAGAGGTCTATCTAATCTATCTATCTATCTATCTATCTATCCCCATCCACCCCTCTATCTATCTATCTATCTATCCCCATCCACCCCTCTATCTAATCTATCTGTCTATCTATCTATCTGTCTAACATTGCATTGTATAAATAATTTTATGGGGCACTTCACAGAGTTCCTAGCTCTTTTCCCTGTTAGTGGCAAAACCTCTCTCTGGAGTTTAGGTTCTTTGTTTGCATCAGTTGCCGGATTTGTTTTTTTCACGGCTTTCTATTATTATGTTTCTATGCATGTAGATCTCTCTCTCCCTCTCGCTCTCTTTCTACTTATTTATTATTGGAGACTGCTAGATAGAAAGGCTCCTGTTTGGAGTGTAATCCTTGCTATGGCTTATCTCCCTTGGGCATCTTTGAGACTGGAAGACTAATTCATTTATTTCATTGTAGAGAGACAAAATCAAAGCCACTTTTGTTCAGAATCTGTAGGAGGATCTTCAAGTTATCTAGGACAGAGGTGGGCAAACTATGGCCCGCGGGCCACATCCGTCCTGCGGGACCGTCCTGCCCGGCCCCTGAGCTCCCGGCCGGGGAGGCTAGCCCCCGGCCCCTCCCCCGCAGACATGCCACCGCTCGGGCAGCGCTCTGGGTGGTGGGGTTGCGCACTCCTGCAGAGCAGCGCAGGGGTGTGGATAGGGGTCAGGGGGGCAGTCAGGGGACTGGGAGCAGGGGGGTTGGATGGGGGTGGGGTCCTGGGGGGCGGTTAGGGGCGGGGGTCCTGGGACAAGGAGCAGGGGGGTTCAGGATTGGATAGGTCGGGGGTTCTGAGGGGGGAAGTCAGGGGGCAGGAAGTGGGTGGGGTGGACAAGGGGCAGAGGCCAGGCTGTTTGGGGAGGCCCAGGCTTCCCAATGGGGCCCTCCATACAGTTTTGCAACCCCAATGTGGCACTCAGGCCAAAAAGTTTGCCCACCCCGATCTAGGATATCTGTCTAAAAAGATCCAGTACCCTCTTCCTTTCCTCTCTGAACCCCATAAATACCTATCTGAGAATAAATTTCAGAAAAGGTCATTAAAAAAACCTGACTAGGGTCTTTCCATGTTCATTTCAGAATAATTTGAAAGGGAAATGTCTGTCCTAATCTCTTAGACAGCTATAAATTCTCATCACCAGATTTCTGGCAAGGACATAAAGTCTCTTGCTTCATGGAATAAACCAACCTCTCACTGATAGGGAATTATGAAAAATCTGCCCCTCTGGGCCGCTTAGTTCCAATTGCCGACTGTATTGCTGTGTCTTCCAAACCAGCTGGCTCAGGCTGCTCTTCAGGCAGGAGACTGAGCTAAATGGGCCCTGGGAGATTCTCGAGACTGGCAGTTGCTAGGTTCCTAATGGCTGCTCAGAGAGAACAGTGAATGTTGCAGGGTGAGGGTAATTATGGTTGGGAAAAGGTTTCACCAGGGAGGCTGGTACAATTAAGATCCCAAGCTCACAATTTTGTTTAGACTGTTTGGTCTGAGTTAGTTTCCTGTTTAGCTCATGTCTTCGATTTTGTCCTGCAGGGAACGGAATTTCCACCTGTAGTGTCATGGTGCGGCTTCGGATTCTACAGCAGGCACCGCATTTAAAGACTCCTGGTTCATCCTCTCCGCTATGGGAGGGAAGCACATTCTGGTGAGTCTGTTTGCAACGGCAAGAGTTGAGGAATGAATATTCCTGGGGTCTTTCCCTTCACTTCTTGGCAGAATGATGGAAAAAAACAGAGAGTGGGTGGCCGGCTGTCAGAACTCCTGGCCTTGATTCCCAGCCCCGGGAGTTCTGAGTCACTGAGTGCGTTTCGGTGATTTGGGGTGTAATTCACACGTGCTTGGAAGGAACGTCCTATGGAATCTGGATGAAGCCAACAGCCAGCCAAGCAGAGAGAACGCGGTGCTGGCAGCCGCTGCTCTCTGCGACTCACACAGGAAGGCTGGTTCTCTGCACGGTTAGTTTTAGTGCGGGCTCTGATAGGTTCCCCATCACTGTGTCTCTGGCACAGTAATACACGGAGGTGTCTGCCGGTTGCAGGCCGGTCAGTTGCAGGAACACTTGGCCTTTGGAGGTGTCTCTGGTGACAGTGAGGCGATTTTTGAGAGCATTGTTATAATATGTGGCTCCATTGGACCATATTTCTCCTACCCATTGCAGCCCTTTCCCCGCTGGCTGGCGGGCCCACTGCACTGCGTAGCTAGTGAGAGAGAATCCGGACACGGCGCAGGTCAGTCTGAGGGTCTCTCCGGGCTTCTTGATTCCCCCACCGGACTCCACCAGGCTGATCTGGGAATAGACACCTGCAGAGGAGGGAAATAAAGGGGAAATATTGCAGCGATTCCCAGAGACACAGTTATTAGGGAACATGTGGTACCGGGCGCCCAGCGGCAGCACAGATCCCGCCCGTACCCGCTGGGAGCAGCAGGAGGAAGGCGATGGCCAGGCTGGGGGTCATGTCTGCGGCTGGCGGCTCGTTCCCCAGGCGGGATGGGACGCTGAACCCTGGCGCTGGCTCTGAGCGGGGTGATCAGCCCGGGACTGGGCTATGAACAGGGCCCCGGGAAGCTCATTTGCATGGGCCAGGGGGTGGAGACAATATAACCGGGGGATCTAGGAGGTGTGTGACAGTGTTTCGCGTTGTGATATATGATGGCAGGTGGGTTAGAGAGTCCAACTTCAGCAGGGACGTTTCCCCGGTGATATTTATTTTGCCCCTCTATAATTTGGACAATTCAATATCATTGAATGAAAGCCCTTATGTTATCTAGCTATCTATCCATATCTCTGTGTCTCTTCCCTTCAGTGTTGTGGCCAATATTGTATACAACAATTAGTTATATTACTGATCCATTCAGGAATCAGGCTTTGTAATGATGCTTCATAAATCTTATGCTTTAGGTTACAACAGGGGTCTCAAACACGCAGCGCAGAGTTATTTCCTGTGGCCGCCAAGCTCCCCTCACCCCCAGCCCCCAGCGCTCCATGTCCCCGCTCCTCCCTGCCTACCTCCCAGTGCTTCCTGCCGCCAAACAGCTCTTTGACGGCGGGAAGGACTTTCCAGGAGGGAGGGGAAGGGGTTGGAATAGGGGCAGACAGGGGGCGGAGTTGGGGCAGGGACTTTGGGGAAGTGGTTGGAATGGGGGCGGGGAAGGGGTGGGAAGAGGCGGGGCAGGGGCGGGGCCTCATGGAAGGGGTGGAGTGGGGTTTTCTTACAGGCACAAATCAACACAACTTCCCATCACAACACACATTTGCCCACACTCACTCATACTTACCATAAACTTGTCCTTTGCTAGTAAGCATATATTGGGCTACTGTGACAATGCAGTAAAAGTCAGTAGAAAAATCAATGTAAGATGCTATACAATTTAAGGGTGTAGAAAAAAGGCACTGTATATATTATATGAGAAACAGTACATGACCCTGTACTTGAAAGATGACATGATAACACATAGTCTCAAAGGGGCAGAGAAAAAGTTGTGTGTGCAACCCTAATTTTAGCACGTGTGCTTAACTGTGCAGTCTTAACATTCTCTTAGGGTACGTCTATACTTACCCGCTGGTTCGGCGGCAAGCAATCAATCTTCTGGGATCGATTTATCGTGTCTTGTCTAGACACGATAAATCGATCCCGGAAGTGCTCGCCGTCGACGCCGGTAATCCTGCTCCGCCAGAGGAGTAGGCGGAGTCGACGGGGGAGCCTGCCTGCCGCGTGTGGATCCGCGGTAAGTACCTTTAAGTTCGAACTAAGATACTTCGACTTCAGCTACGTTATTCACGTAGCTGAAGTTGCGTATCTTAGTTCGAACTGGGGGCTTAGTGTGGACTAGCCCTTAGTGTAGTTCTTTGTATGGAATGTGGTACAATTTGCAAGCAACACTGAAATTGGTTTAGTCTCAGGATATCAGACCTAATATTGACACTCTGGTTGATGCAAAACACTGCCAGCTAAGTGGCCAAAAATGAAATGACTGTCAAAATTAGCACTGACTTTTTGCATTACAGTTTTCAAAAAGTTAATACATTGACTTTTAATAGCATACTATATTACTCCTCATTTTTTTCATTTTTGACTATACTTTCATATCATTGTATGAAAAGGTGTCAGTGATGCGGCCCTCGGGCCAATGTACTAGTCCTCATGTGGCCCTCGTGGTGATTTGAGTTTGAGACCCCTGGGTTCTAATGATCGAAGAGATATGGATATCCACAGACAGAGGATAAAAGTTACCGCTGTACAGAAGGGCAGCAGAAGACTCAGTCATGAAAGGCTTAGAAGGGGCTCACTAGATGCAAAGACCTTTGTGCTGGCCCCTTTACAAAGAAAGTCCTTATCAATGGCCTGAGAAGGAAGGTCACTCATACATCACTGACCCCTCCCTTCTAGTTAAAAATCCTCTCTCCGGTCTCAGGGTTCCCACTGATGCTCACCAAGGCTCAGCTTCTCCATTGACTTCCAGGGGAGAAGGAGGGATCCCTAAACTGCAGAGTACCTGATCAGAAAGCTCTGGTGGGCACTGGGGGCATCCACAGACCAAGGGCGGATGCACCTGTTCTTTTTTCCTGCTCCGTGAAATACACCCTGGGCATCTGCTCCCTGCGCTCCCTGGGGGAGATGGGATCAGCAGAACCTCTGTCTCCTATTCCAGCTCTGTGCAGTGTGCAAAAGGGGAGATACTTTGTGTCCATTTTCGTTGCTGTGGAGCATGAACGCCACCCTCAGGAAATCCCTTCCCCGGTCTCTGCAGAGGAAGGTTTTTGTCTGAGCTCAGACTGGCTTCCCTTCATCACTTTATGTCTCTGGCACAGTAATACACGGTGGTGTACTCGAAACAAACAAACACTGTCCTGTCTCTGTCTCTCTCTGTCTGTCTCTCTGTCACACACACACACACACACTCACACAAACACTGTCCTGTCTCTCTCTCTTTGTCTGTCTGACACACACACACACTGTTCTGTCTCTGTGTGTGTGTGTCTGTGTGTGTCTCTCTCTCTTCTCTCTCACCCACACCCACTCTGTCCTGGCTCTGGTTCTCTCTTTTTCAAACACAGAAACACTGTCCTCTCTCTCTCTCTCTCTCACACACACACACACACACACTCCTGGCTGTCTCTGTGTCACACACACACACACACACACACTGTTCTGTGTCTGTGTGTGTGTGTCTGTGTGTCTCTCTCTCTCTTCTCTCTCACCCATACCCACACCGTCCTGGCTCTGGCTCTCTCTTTTTCAAACACAGAAACACTGTCCTCTCGCTCTCTCTCTCACACACACACACACACACGCACACACAAACTGTTCTGTCTCTGTGTGTGTGTGTGTCTGTGTGTGTCTCTCTCTCTTCTCTCTCACCCATACCCACACCCACTCTGTCCTGGCTCTGGTTCTCTCTTTTTCAAACACAGAAACGCTGTCCTGTCTCTCTCTCTCTCTCTCTCTCTCTCACACACACACACACACACACACAAAGACAGGCACTCCTTGCTGTCTCTGTGTCACACACACAGACCCACACACTATCCTGTCTCTATATCTCACACACACACTCAAACACACAGACACTCCTTGCTGTTTCTGTGTCACACACACACTGTCCTTTCTCTTTGTATCTGTTTGTCTGTCTGTCTCTCTCTCTCTCACTCACACACACACACACTGTTCTGTCTCTGTGTGTGTGTGTGTGTGTCTCTCTCTCTCTCTTCTCTCTCACCCACACCCACTCTGTCCTGGCTCTGTCTCTCTTTTTAAAACACTGTTGTCCTCTCTCTCTCTCTCTCTCACACACACACACACACACACACACACACACACACACACACACACACACACACACACACACACACAAAGACAGACGCTCCTTGCTGTCTCTGTGTCACACACACAGACACACATACTGTCCTGTCTGTCTCTCTCTCACACACACACACTTTCCTGTTTCTGCCTCTGTCTCTGCCTCTGTCTCTCTCTCTCTGCCTCTCGCACTCTCTTTCTCTCTCTCACACACACACACACACACACACACACACAGTCTTTTTCACATTCACCTCCCAACACATACTTGTATTATTGTTGTTGTTACTTCTTGGTACTTCCTGCAGTGCACATATAGTCTCTGTAATTTTATTCTTAAAGTGTGTTATTTTAGTGTTTTGACTGGTCTGTACATTTCATAATTTTTATTTCTCTGACACTTTAATTTCCATTCTTTGAGTAGTGAGTTCTAAAGTGCCTAATCTGTCCTGGCTGTAGTAATTATCCCTATTGTAACTTTGTATATATATTAGCTAAGGGTTTTGTTGTTGTTGTTGTTTGTTTCCACTGGTGGTGCACATCCGCACATACCTCGGTTGACATAACAAAAGTTATTGCTCAGTGGAGGGGAAAAAAGAGGGAACATGTGGTCCCAGTTTCCAGCGTGGCTGCTAGGGGCATGAAAACTCCTTGTGAGACCTTTCCTTTGTCCTCTGTGTAACTGCTGCCCTCTCCCGATCAATGCGATTCAGGGACCTTCAGGTAGATGGTTTTTGTATGAAGCGTTATAGGTTTCCCCTCGCTGTGTCTCTCGCACAGTAATACACGGCGGGGTCCTCGGGTTTCCCCTCAACCTGTCCCTCCTCCCATAACGAATTGCAGCTCAAAGGCCGATTTTTGGAGGCACTGGGCCCCGGCAGCTCTCGGTGACTTCAGGCAGAGCAGTGCCCGCTTAGCACCTCTGACACTGGCTCCCCTGGGGCAACATTTCCTAACGCGGTGTCTGAGTTTGAGAGTCTGAATATTTCGGGGCCCAACGCGAGTCACAGGGAGCCTGACTCCCAGGAGTGGACAATCTCCCACAGCTGGAGCTGATGTCACTCACAGATGCAGGCGCGGAGCTTTGCTATTGAGGCCCAGAGTATCTCACCATTAATGTCACCGTTACCCCGGTCTCAGTGAGTCCTGGGTGCACATTTCACTGGGAAGCGCAGGGAAGCGGAGCGTGTAAAATCCCTTGGTGGGAGGGTGGGATGCAGGGGGAGAAACGCGGGTGGCTCCTGAGATCCTGCTCTCGGCAATGCCTCGTCTGTCTCATCCCTTCAGCACTAACTGAATGTTCATGTCGGCTGATTAGAAATCCGCTTCCCCTTTTTGTGGCAGTCCCTGCTCTGCTCTGCGTCACTGTGGCTTCTCTGGTGCAGTAATAGGTGCTGGTGTCTGCAGCTGTCAGCGAGCCGAGCTGGAAATAAACTTCGTTTTTAGAGGTGTCCCTGGTGATGGTGACACGAGGTTTGAGAGCCGAGTTATACTCTGTGGTCCCCCCCCGTGCAGTGCTGCGGATAAACCCCATCCACTCCAGCCCTTTCCCAGGGGGCTGCCGGTTCCAGTTCCAGTAGTAGTCACTGACGGAGACTCCAGAGACTTTACAGGTGATACTGAGGGTCCCTCCTGGCTTCACCGCGCCTGGGCCGGTCTGGACCAGCTGCACCTGAGAGAGGACACCTGGGGAGAGGGAAACAAATCAAGGACAGAATTAGCTATGGAAAGAATCTGTGGATCTGGTGCTAATTTTCTCGCTCTCAACAAACACTTACAGGAGGGGGCAGAGAACAGGGATAGGAAAAGCAGCAGCGATTTCATTCTCGCTTTCACGCAGTGAGGGAAACTCCCTAGCATCCAGGACCGGACAGTTCTGTGTCTGGGGAGAGACTGAGGCTCCTAGAACCAGGGGTTGGTATTTAACAGGAACCCCCCGGGGCAGGGATTTGCATGCGAGTTCCCAGGGTGGGTATAAGAGCTGGCAGGGGGTGAGTGCGCAGTACATGGCGATGTCCCCTTTGGACAGGGGTCCCCTTTACACCCAGAGAGACCCTGCGCTCAGCTCAGCACGGCTGTACATTAGCCTTTGGTGATTCGCCTGTGGCCCTAGGAGACAGGACACAAGTCACAGGGTCGGTTCCTACATCACGCACTCGCTCCCTGTTGCCGTTGTGTGACTCCACCTAGGGGCTCTGCGTACACAATTCCCACTCGTGTCAGTGGGTGGTGGGTGCCCAAATCCCCTAGGTGGGTTGGATACCTTACTGAGTCAGGGCCTCAGTTCCTCCTCTGTAAAATGGGGCTAATGACACTTCCCTGCTTCACATGTGAGGGTAAAATCCAGGACTGGTTGTGAGTCACTCACAGGCTCTGGTGACAAGCGGCAGAGAAGAGCAGAGACCGGTTGGGGGCTGGGCATCCAACTGCCAGTGAAATCCAGTGGGATTCTGTCTCCGAAATGCCGCAGGTTTCTTGATAACCCCCCAGCCTGAGTCCATGGAGTCCATCTACAGCGTGTTGTACTCCGGCGTTGGGGGCAGGTCAATGTGGAATTTGCACCTGTGGTTTTGGGTTTGGAACGAGAGTTAAGGGAATTAGGATCCCCAGACCTACTGGATTTGGGCACCTGTTGAGTTCTTCACCTCATTTCCACAGGGTGGGAAAGAGAACTTGGAAATAAATCGGATGGTTTGAAACAGGCAGATGTTCACACTAAACACAGGAGAAGCCAGCGCAGGGGAAGCAAGAGGATTCAGTAAATGGAGCGGGGATTTGGGGAAAGGGGGCTGGGTCCTGGGAGGGTAAGGGCCAGCACCCTCTGTCTGGATCTCGCTAGCAAAGAGGCCACCCCATCTAACCAGGAGAGGGAGAAAGGTTGGGTTTTCTCAAGTACCACCAGCCAACAGCTTTTCAGGGCAGGAGCAGGAGGGAGAGAAGTCGGGAGACAGGAAAGTTCTGGGCTGTCTCCAAAGGAGGCCTGGCTGTGATTGTGGTAGGGCAGGAGTGGGGCTGGAACACACACTGGGCGGGGGGAGGGGAGAATTTGGCAAGGGTATTAAACCTTGTCCTGGTTCAAACCAGTGATACTCAGACCTCAGTGGTTCAGGAGCCAAATTATCCATCAGTATTACCCAAAAAGCCACAGTAGTGTGAATGTCAGGGAAAATATTTAGTGTGTTTGTATACATATAGACACTCTCTCTATATATTTAGTATATGTACACAAATATTTATATATAATATAATATTTTATTCAGATATCTATCTATATATCTGTAAATCTATAAAATTCCCAGAGTAAGTTAATAACTTAGTGCAAGTCGATAACTCAATTGGTTAATAACATAATAAAAACATCCTGATTGGTTAATAGCTTGGATGGGTTCGTAATTAAATCACCCTAGGTGCTGCAAAGGGCAGCAGGAAACACATTAAAAAGCCCCTTGCGGCTGGAGAGCCACAGTCTGAGTGTCTGGTTTAACCCAATCTCAGTTAGAGACCAGGGCGAGACCTTCTGTGGAGGGTGGATTCTCTCACATCCTCAGCCAGGACCGGCTCTAGGCACCAGCAAAGCAAGCAGGTGCTTGGGGCAGCACATTTCCGGGGGCGGCATTCCAGGCTGAAGTCACAGGAGCATTGGCCCAGCCTGACCTCACTACGACACCCCTGGGCTGAGGGAGGTCGGCGGAAACTGAGGCTGCATCGGGGCCACGGGACTCAGCGAGGAACTGGCCGATGGGGCGAGCACCGAGGGGGATAATCCCCTTCCACCCAGCATCCCGGGCCCTGTCCCGCCCCAGCGCTAGCACGGTGTGCGCCACCCGCAGGGCCCGGCCCCTCCGTGGGCAGATCTCGCGATCCACCGCTGGGTGGGCTGCGCTGGGCAGCGGAAGAGCGAGGTTGTTGCTCTCTCGCCCGATTGGTCAAAGCACCCTCCAATCAAAGACAGCCAGCTCATCTCTCCCTGAGCGCCCCGTCCCCGAAAGTTGTGAGCTTCCCCCCCCAGCACCTACATGCCGGGCAGGAGGATGGGGCACAGCTGTGCCTCTGTGCGCCCATCATGGCAGCAGCAGCTGGTGGGAGAGGCTCTGCCGCTGCAGCTTCTCCTCCTGCTGCTCTTGCACGTGGCGGAGGCTCCTCCAGCCCCTGTCAGTGCAGAGAGGAGCCTGGTTTGGGGGCCCGGTCCGGAAGCGGAGCTCACACTGCCCTTCAGGTATTTCTACATCCAGGCGGTCAGTGCAGCTGGATAGAACTTCACCTGCTTCCCCCCCCCTCCCACAGGTACTGTGCATGCATCTGCTCTTTGCCCCCGCCCCTGGTTGTGGCTTTTGCTCTCCAGGCTGTGATCTGAGCCGCAAGTCTGGCGCAGGGGGCTCTGGGGCTGAGAAAACTGTCACCTGAAGGAGTTGACTCAGGATGAGAAGTGGATCCAAAAAGCCTTAAGTTTTTTCTCCCTACTCTTTCCCCTTTCTAGTGCCCGAGGCGCTTTGGTGTGCTCCAGTAACCCAGGATCAATCACTGCTGCTTTTTCATCTTGCAACGTCAGGCACATCTCACAGTAATACACGTACGTTTAAACACAAAGTCTCACTTTGTGATAAGCTCACCGACAACATTAAAATCCTACATTACTCTTCTACTGGCCAGTGTGTCTTTCCATGCAACCCTGCATCTTCTCTCCAGTTTCTTAAATAATAGGAACAAAATAAAACAAACAAAAATTGCAAAGAGCAAACCTGTAAAAGCCAAAGGGGGGGGGGAGGGGGCAACATTTTTTTTTGCTTGGGGCAGTGTAAGAGGTCAGACTCACCCCTGCGGCGCCTCCTGCTGGTTACTCCGGGGAATCAGCTCAATCCAGCCCAGAGTGCCCTCTGCAGGCCGGTGATCCGCCTCATCCCTACTGGCTCCCGTGTCCTTCCCAGGACCCCGGTGCCCCTTGCTCTGGGTTCTTCCCCCTGGCAGTACCCACACACACTGGGTCTCCCCTCCCAGGGGAACCCCCACCCACTAACCCCACCTCGCCTCAGTGTCAAGCTACTGCCAGTCACCATCTAGCCCCACTCCCTGGGGCAGACTGCAGTATCAGCCTACTCATCACTGGCAAGGTTGGATTTCGACCTGCTGCCTTGGTCTACCCCTGGGCTGCCCTCTGCAACCCCCAGTACCTTTGGCCCAACTCTAGGCCGCAGCCTGGGGCTTTCCAGGCTGGAGCTCCCCAGCTCCTCTGCCTTTCCCCAGCCCTGCTCCACTCAGGAACCCTGTCTCAAGTTCCCTACAGCCGGGCCCTTCTCTCTCTGAATGCAGAGATAGACTCCTGAGCTCCCGGCTCCCAGCCTCTTTATACAGGCCAGCTGGGGCCTGATTGGGGCGTGGCCCAGCTGCAACCGCTTCCCCATTAGCCCAGCTTCTAGAGCTACAGCTTTCAAGTCCTCCCAGGCCACTTTTTAAACCCCTCAGGGCAGAAGCGGGTATCCACCCCACTCCACACCTCTCCCCTCAAAACCCCCACCCCGGGGAATCAAGGGGCCTTCTGGCCTGTACGGCCCGGAGGTGTCCCGCCAGCCATGCCTGCTTCTCCTCACTGTCTTTCAGTTTGACGGCCAGGTGGGCTTTTTGGAGCCCCACTTCTGCTGTCCGCCGGGCCTGCTCCGCGGCCTCTAACCGAATCCGCAGGTCCTGGTCCCCCAGGCCATCTTTCTGACCCCCCACCCTCAGGGTCTGGGTCCATTTCGTGGCCTGATCGTGGACCACTTGGGTCCCAGCCTCTTCCTGGGCCCACTCGGTCTGGGTCTCATCATCAGCGACAAACCCCGGGCTGGTCTGGGTTCCTGCCTCCCGCAGGGATCCCTCCATCCTGGTCGCCGCCTCCAGCAGTTTTGGCCCTTCTGGCCTCACAGGCACCTCCTCTGGCCTCTCCTCAGTTCCTCTTAGGGGACAGTGCCTCCTTATATGCCCAGGTACCCGGCAGCCCCAGCAGGCATCCCGCCTCTGTGCTGCCCCGGGCCTCGGCATCCCCTTTTTGTCCTTCACTGGGCCAACCCTCCCTGGGTTGCCCTGGGCCATGTTCCTCAGGGGAGGGCACTCCCGCTTTAGGTGTCCCTTTCGCCCGCAGGCCCAACACGCCCGCAGCCGCCTGGGTTCCCTTACCCAGCGGACTGCTGGAGGGATTGGGTGCCGTCACAGTTTGGGATGAGGTCCCCCACCTTCAGCCCCGTAGAGACAGTCCCGTTTTAAGTGTTCTGCTCGACTGCAGGCGTAGCAAGCCTGACGCTCTGCCACTGGCCTCCTGACCCTGGTGGTCGGCTCTTCACGCCCTGCTCCCTGTTGTCGGCAGTTCCTCCTAACCTCCTGGTGGAGGAGTTTCACCAGGGCCCCCTGCTCCCTCACCAGCTGGGCCACCTGGCCATGGAGGGCCTCCTGCGCCTCCCAAAGTCCCTCCTGAGCCTCCCGGATCCCCTGGAGGATGTCATTTCCCTTCCTTTGGGGCATTGACCCCGGGTCCCAGCCAGAGATGGCACCTGGGGTCTCCGCATAATACACCCCAGCGTACCTGGGTTCCATCGTCCCCTTCTCCCGTCTCTCCACCATCTCAGGCAATAGTCCCAGTCCTTGCCTTGCCCCTGCCCACATTCTCCACCACTCATGTAAGAGGTCGGACTCACCCCTGCGGTGCCTCCTGCTGGTTACTCCGGGGAATCAGCTCAATCCAGCCTGGAGCGCCCTCTGCAGGCCGGTGATCCGCCTTGTCCCTACTGGCTCCCGTGTCCCTCCCACCTCGCCTGTCAGGCTACTGCCAATCACCATCTAGCCCCACTCTCTGGGGCAGGAACGGGTATCCAGCCCACTACAGGCAGC